GCTGCGGTTTTATCTGCGTGCTGCCATTTTATTGATTAAAGTGGGACATCTAAAAATCTTTTTAGTGCTCTGTAAACAAAATTGTAGTAGCTTATCTGTGATTCTTGTGCTAGCTGACTGCAAAATGTGCTGCTGCGGAAACACTTCTTCGTATTGGTGTTTGTAAAGGACATTCAGAATATGTACACATCATGATGCAGACACCACATCAGAGAGCTTAAATTCCACCTCAGCTTAATGCTTCTTACTAATTGGCTGTAAGCAGTTCCCTATTCAGTGCCCTACTTTAGTTTACCGAGTTACACTTCAAAGACTAATTGAGTATATTGAACTTAGATGGAATTTAGGCTGTTGGAGTTTGGCCCATCCTCCCTGTGTATAGACAGACTAATAAGCTGTCTAGTTTATCATGTTGGGCCATCTGGTCACAAGCTTTCTGTCTTCACTGGAATTCTTCAGCCACCTGGTATGTGGACAAGGGAAAATATCCTTCTTACAACTGAATGTCATGCTTCTCTTGCACATTTACGTGAGGTTATTCCTTTGTTCAGGGATGCTTCTGGCCATCTTGGAAAAGTGTGGTGCCATCCCCAAAATCCACTCTGCCAATGTGTCTGTGGGTGAAGGCACAGTAGCTGCTGGATATCAGGACTTCATCATTTGTGTGGAGATGTTCTTTGCAGCCATTGCCTTGCGCCATGCCTTCACATACAAGGTGTATGCGGACAAGAGACTTGATGCACAAGGTAAGAAATATGCCAGTACACATGGCCTGTCTGCTTGGTAGCAAGACTGGGTGGAGATTGATCCCTCTGGGTTCCAGCACATTGATATGACTCTCAACCTACATGCTTGAAAAACATCACATCCCTTCCTTCGTGGTGTCCGAGCCGATTCATTGTGCAACAGTTCTGCAGGCCAGAAACCTTTCCTGAATTGCGTGGTTCCCTTTTCAGTTCCCTGATATGCCACCCATGATAGCTTGTTGCAGACCTCAGGGTAGCATGAAGTTGCATCCTTTCAATAGAGTGGATTTGTCCTTCTTCCTGTCTCCCCAGAGGGGAACTCCATTGCTCCAGATTGTGCAATAGTCTGGAGGCAGGAGAGACAAGGCCTGAAACAGTCTCTGTTTTGACTCCAGCACGGGAGGATGAGGCTGTGCTTTAGCAATATGTTTTGCCTGGAGGAGGAGGATCTTCCTGTAATGGTTTTGAAGGTGGAGCTGCTAGAAATCTTATTCTAGGGAAGACAGAGGTGGAAGTTTTCGGGGAAATGGGGCTTTTGGTTCCCCAAATAAAGGTATTCCTTCCTGTTGGGGGTGGATGGGAGTCTGCGCTGAGCTGCTGGAAGACAGCAGCGCTGGGGAAGTGTTCATGTAGATAATCCCTCCATCCCAGCTGGCCCCAGAGGTCGAAGAAGAGCAGTGGCTACAGCTAGGGGAGCTGAGATCTGTATGTGATGAAGGGGTAAATTGCTATCATGTACACTGGGGATGATTCGGTGGTGGGTCTTGTTCAGTTCTTGTTATTTCCTCTCTTTTTCTCTCTGTCTCTCCATCTCTCCCCTCCCTCTTTTTTCTCTCCCTTGCTTTGGCCACTGGTCCCTGATGCAGCCGTTCCATCATATGGGCCATACGGTAGGTGCAGCATGCTCTGTGTGTTTGTCTCAGTTGGTTTTAACTGGGATATGCTGTTCTGTCCTGGTTCCCAGCCTGTCTACTACCTGCCCTGTCCCTTGTTCCCCTTCCTGTAGATCTGTAATCTGACTGCCTCACACAGCTGCTTTAGGGTTGTCCAGATACATTGTAAAAGAGCCCTGTACAGCAGCGTAACACATCTTTAGAGCATTCGTGTTGGGACTGCATGAAACATTTCTCCCCGAAAAACTGAGCAGGCTCTAAAAGGAGCTGGTTTGCTCCCTCTCAGCCCAGTCTCCCTTCTCTCATGAATACTACAGCTAATCAGCATGCCTTGGTCGCTGGGAGAGCTCATCCTCAGAGCTGAGCAGAGCCAGAGGCCCATGCTGGAAGCGGAACTTAGAAGCTGGGATAAATGGCAGCTCCTAGAAAAATGCCTAGCACTTGGGTGGGACTGGCTTCAACTGCTGCATCCTTTGCTGTGACACCCTCCAGCTGTGGTTCTGCCTTGTACTGCCCGTCTCTCTTCCTTTATCTCCTGTGTTCTCCTCTCCCCTTTTATGATTTCTTTCCTTTTAATACCACCCATTTCCAGTGAGTGGGAATGGCAGATGCCATTTCTTTGATGTTTTTAGAAGTTTCTTGAGTTTGTTTTTTACTTCCAAAAGCCTTTACAGAAGCACCTCCTTACCTGGCTGTCTTTGTCGCACCCCTGAGCCAGCCCAGATCACACGTGGGGAGGTTGTTGCTGTACGTCCCATTCTCATCTCCCCTATTTGGTGCTGAGTTGGATTCACTCAGACTTGGGGAGCACTACTGATAAAACTTAGCACCATTTATTTGGTGGCATTTTTTCAGCTGCTGCTTAAGGAATTCTGTAAAGTAACTTCTGCAGGACTTAGGAGTGCATGTTCCCTGTTCTCCTTCCCTTCATGTTAAGGCGTATGGAGGAAAGCAGTGGTACTCTTTACCTGTTCCTCCCCGTCTCACCCCAACAGGTCGTTGTGCTCCCATGAAGAGCATCTCCAGCAGCCTCAAGGAGACCATGAACCCCCATGACATCGTCCAAGATGCGATCCACAACTTCTCCCCAGCCTACCAGCAGTACACCCAGCAGTCAACGCTGGAGCACGGCCCACCCTGGCGCAATGGCAGTCATGTCATCTCACGCTCCCACAGCTGCTCGGGTGCCCGTGACAACGAGAAGACCCTCTTGCTGAGCTCTGATGATGAGTTCTAGGAGAAAAAACTGCCAGCACAAGCTATCATTTTCCCTCCTTTGTTGCTGTTTTTTTCTTTTTTTAATTTATTGAAGCAGAAACACGCAAGTCATATCACCTTTAGTGCAGATTGCAGAAGTGGGCATTTCCCATTAGCTTTTGTGGATACGGATGCAATGAGTGGAATGGAATTAGGGGAATGGCCAAGACTTGCTTCTCAAGCCCATTCCTTACAGCAGCAATTGACTGGAATTAACTGAAGCAAAGCTCCACTGTCTGGGGCTCTGCCTCCCACACCTGCTCAGCTTGATGTGGTGTGTGACTGGCCAGAGCTTGGAATCGTGGCCAGAAATGTTTTGTTTTCAACTGGACGACCTGACTGCTTTGAATTCCTCTTCCTGAATGATTGATGTAGGCACAGCTTGCACCCCCAGCTCCCCGGTACTAACGTCTCTATGATCCTTGGGAAATGGGATTAGGATGCAGCGATAAGCATTCCTGAGGGCCAGAGTGGAGATTGGACCCTCTGTAGCCATTGCAGTGAATATTTAGTATGGAACATCTTCTCTCACCCCTCTTAAGCGCTGCTTATGCGGGCCTATACTTGAGTGAGTGTAGGAGAAGAAGGCAGGACTGTCGCCTTGTTCTGCCCTCTCTGCTCCATGTCAAAGCTGCCTGCTGGAGTTCAGCAGGGGTGGAATTATTATCTCACAAGAGCAGAGTTTTCTATCACCAGGTGTCCGAGCTTCCCATCTCCCCTGCATTCCTGGGGCAAGATGCTGCCTGGAGCATCTGTCTCCTGCTAACCAGGGTTGAGAACTGGCCATGACAGGTGGTGGAAGTCTGTACAGCTCTGGCCATTTCATTCCTCTTGGGGAAAGGAGCATTTGTGAACACTCAGATGTTCTTTCCTCTTGTTCCCTGCCCCCTACCAACAGTGCTGCCTCTCTCAGAGTTGTGGATTGCACCAGCGGCTGTCAGAGCAGGTCCCAGCCCAGGTGTCTTGCAGGTGGCCTCCCCTGCAAGCTGCACGAATTTTGCCCTTTGACCGGAGTATCTGAGAAGGGATGCACCTTTCCAGATTGCCCCTTGTTGCTCTGCTAGGAGAAGCAGGGTCTGATTTACTGCCTGGAGTTCACCTTCCTTCCTGTATCCTGATCGCTGCGCTTGTTCATTCACTTCCTCAGAAGCGATGGTGAGCAAAGAGCTCCTTGTGTCCTCAGCACCCCTACCAGGTCAGGAGCAGCACACACTGCAACAATAGGCAGTTGGCTCCTGCTTTTCCTAAACCTGTAACTGCTTATGTAGACACACAGACACTATCTACCAGGCTTTTTGTGGGCTTGGTATAAAACTCCTCATCCCATAAGCCACCTGGAAAGCAGGACTGAAGTTTGAGCTTTCCCTCCATCTTCTGTGGCTTTGATTAATAGGTTTTTAGCCTGGGGTATTTATTTTAAACTTCCCCTCCTTTTTAGAGGACAAAATCCCTTCCTCCCTTCCGTTGTATTTGCAGGCCTCGATGATGTCCCAGTGTCACTTAACCAATGGCCGTACCCAGTGTTTGTTGCATTGGATGGCCGAGATCTGAAATCTCAGAAACTGCCCTGTTGAGCCTGAAGATATTCCAGGCTTGGGGAAGCATTTTCTAAACATTATTTTAAAGCGTATGCTGCATCTATATGCTGTGCATAGGATCTGGATATTCTCAAAGCTTCCTGTACGTAGAGGTTTAAAGTATAACTCTGTTGCACTAGCTGCCTTTGGAGAAGCCTGGAGAAGAGCTAGCGCCCAGATAACAGCCAGCTGCCATGCATTATAATTTTATATATATATATTTTTGTAACACTAAGCAAAACCATCTCTGAGCTTCCTGCACTCCCCTGCAACAGGCCAGCACCAGGACAAGGATCGGCTCTGAAGCCACTCTGGTTTGGTGGAGCAAATCTCTAACCTGAAGACCCAGAGCTTGAGACCGAGGGCATCTCCTGCTCTCTCAAGCAGTTCTGCTTGTGGTAGCCTGAGGCCAGGAGTAGGTCCTCAGAGCTGCTCATTCCCTTTCCCTCCTCGCCCTTCCTTTTTGTTTACCATGTAACATACCCATGGGATTTGTTTATTATTTTTCCATGTAGACTAGTTCTTTGTATATAAACAACTGAAAAAAAAAAATGTATGATAAATAAGACAGAGCCACCTAGTTTTGTACCTATTGTGTTTAACTGATGAGAGAGCGGCTTGTCGCTGAGCTCACTATTTTGGTCTTTGTGAAGTTATACTCTGCAGAAATGAGCAAATATGACGACAAATAAAAATATAGAGATAATATAGATTGTACTTCAGCTGCCTCGCGTGACTTCTCTGAACCAATTCTGGGTTTGTGATGGTTCCAATGCAGCACTACTCTTTCGGAGAAGAAATTTTCCCCAATATCCAACCTGAACCTCTCCTGGCACAACTTAAGGCCATCAGCTCTTCTCCTATTGCTGTTACCTGGGAGAAGAGGTCAACCCCACCTAACTACCACCTCCTTTCAGGTCATTGTAGACAACATTATGGTCTCCCAACACAGCTCTAGAAGTTCAAGAAAGACCAAACGCACTCTCTGTGGAAAAAAAACCAAAAGAACTCACTTTATTTGTAAAGTCTACAAAATACAGAGGACTCAGGTAGGACACATACTGTAAGTCAGAAAATAAATAGTATTTTTTTTTTTGCTCTATATAAGATAAAATGTGATTTGCATATATAAAATATAAAGTACGGCTCTGTACCAACATCCTGGCTGTGCCGAGAGGCGGAATGGCAAAGAGGACGTGAAAATAACTTAGGTTCGTGCAATAAATAAACCCAGGGGGAGTGGGATAGAGGGGATGCTAACAGTGCCCTCTGGGCGGGCACCTCTCTGGGTTGGGACGGAGGCTGCAGCCGAGGGCGGCTGGCGTGGCGATGCCCAGACCTCTGTGCTGATGTCCAAGCTGGAGGAAAACCCAAGGGAGAAGCTGCCTGCCAGGCAGCTCCCAGGAGTGAGATGCTCTGCCCTCCACACCCCTCTGTCTCCTCACTTTGTGCAGCCCAAGCCCTGGAGCTAGTGGAGCACAGGACTTGGCAGGGCCATCCCAGTGGGGCTGTGTGCAGCAAAACAGCAGTTATCTGCACTCCAGCTGCCTCCACTTCCTTCCTGCCACTGCCTCTGTTTTCCAGGCACCCGGTTGGGCTGAGTGTCCCACTCAGGTCATGAAGAGGCGTGAAGGATGTGCCGTGATGGGGAGAAAACAGCCCCTCCACGTCTCCTTTTTGTCTCGCAGCCCCCAGATGTCTCCTGCCCAAGAGTCCCCCTCCATTGCTGTCACAGTGCTATGCCATGCCACTCACCCCAACCTGCAGCCACTTTCTGTTCCCCTCCGACCTGCACATTCTCTTGCCATCTCCACCTTATCTCACTGGGCCTAATGCTGACCCCATTCATCCTCATCCTTCTGCAAAACCCTCTTCCCCATTTCCCTCTCTGGCACGTGCTCCTGAGAACTCCTGCCCTGCACTCAGCTCTCCCAAAAAATGGGGTGCACTGTGTTTTCCTGCCAGCTTGGAGCTGTGGGGGTGTTTCCCTGCCTCCATCCATTCACATGGACTCATCCCTTCCTGCATGCACCCACTGATGCAGCAAGGGATGGGCCCACGGGGCAGTGCCAGGCTGTGGGCTTCCCCCATGGGATCTCCAATAAGGTGCTGTCCCACCCGGCACACACATGGTGGCAGTCCTCCCTACAAGCGGAGGTCTGGGGACCAGAGGGAAGGATTTGGGGTGCAGCTCCCAGCAAAGGAGAGCCTCAAGTATGTAGGGGAAGACGCCCTGGGGGGGACAGTGCCCAGCCAAGGGACGGGGCCAGCACTAGGAGTAGGCAGCCTGGTTGGCACCGGACTTGACGATGGTGATGACGCTGGCAGTGGCCACTTTGGCAGGTGGCCCATGGGCAGCCACAGTGCGGGCAAAGCCTTGCAGGGCCTCGTACTTGCCACGGAGAGTGTCAAGCTCCAGGCGCATGGCAGCATTCTCCCGGGCAAGCTTGTCCACCTCCCATTCCAGCTCCATCTTCTGCTTCTGCAGCTCTTCCTTCTGGCAGACACGCTTCACCCGGCAGCTGGCAGCGTAGCCCCGGTTCTTCAGCGTCCGTCGTCTCTGCTTCAGCCTCGCCACCTCCTCCTTGGAAAGGCCCCGCAGGTGGTGGTTGAGCTCCCGCACCGACAGCCCCATCAACTCTTCATCAGACAGCAGCGGCGTGTTCTCTCCGAGCTCTCGCTTCACCTGTTGGGTGGAGGAGCAGGTGAGATCCCAATGCCAGTCCCCAACCACCAAATGCCAAGCACCAGTGCTAGACCCCTCCCAAATGCCAACCCTTTTTTCCAATCCCCAATGCTGGACCTCCCCAGCACCAATCCCCAGCGATGGACCTCTCCAGTGATGGACCCCCCCCAAAACCAACCCCATTGCTGGACCCCAAGGCCAATCCCCCATGCTAAAGCCCCAGTGCCAATTCCTCATGCTGGAGCTCCCTGAGGCTGGATCTCCCCAGTGTGATTCCCCCATGCTGGACCTCAAAGCCAATCCCCTGTACCGCAAGTCCCTACTGCCAGCTCCCCATGCTGGACCTATTCAATGCTTATCCCTCATGATGGACTTCTCCCAGTGCCAATCCCTAGCGCCAGACTCCCTGATCCTGATTTATCAACTCTTTGAAAGGGTAGATAACAGCAGGACAAGAGGAAATGGTTTTAAGTTGAGGAGGAAAGATTTAGGTTGGATGTCAGGGGGAAGTTCTTTACTATGAGAGTGAAGAGGTGCAACAGAAATTGTGGATGCCTCGTCCCTGGAGGTGTTTAAGGCCGGGTTGGATGGGACCCTGGGCAGCCTGGTCTAGTATTAAATGGGGAGGTTGGTGGCCCTGCATGTGGCAGGGGGGTTGGAGCTTCATGATCCTTGAGTCCCTTCCAACCCTGGCCACTCTGTGATTCTGTGATCCTGGACCTCCTGATGCCGGACCCTGTAGCTGGCCCCCCACATCCCTCGTTTTCCCCAGTGCTCACCTTCAGTGCCTTGCTGGACAGCCCATCTGCAGCCATGGTCGCCCCGTACCGGCCCTATAAAACACCCAAGAGAAGAGCGGATGAGTGCCAGCACGGGGACACGGAGAGTGATGTCGATCCCCGCCCAGCTCCACCTCACTCCTTTATACGAAGCCCATAATAATGGCACACAACCACAACAACGAGGGAAGGCCCTCCCCGGGGGCGCAGGGGAGCTCCCTCGGAGGAGGGCAGCGCGGGGGGAGGGGGGGAGCCGGGCCGGGGCCCGCGGTGGGGTCGAAGGGTGGGGGCCGCGGCCACGTCGCGGGGACGGGCGATCGGGCGCCGTCTCACCGTGATTCAGCAGCGCTGGGGACGGGGGGGGGGGGGGGGGGGGGGGGCCGGAGTCACTAACCCCTTCTGTACCCCTCGACCGCCACTCTTCTTCTTTCTCGGAGCGCGGGGTGGAGGGGGGGCTGATATTTTCTCCCCTCCGCCATTACGGGAGGCGAGGGCCCGGTGCCCGAAGCGGCCCCAACTTCAGACCACCCCCCTCCGCCCCCCCCTCTCGCCAAAGTGCCGTTGGGGGCGAAGCACGGGAGGAGCTGAGCTGATGCAATCAGGGCCGGGGGTGAGACGCGATCATCGAGCTCCCACCGCCCGCCCTACTCCGGAAACTCCCGATCCCTCGCCCCGACCCCGCCGGACGCTTACCGGAGGCCGCGCTGTGTCGCGGCGCTGTGCTGTGCTGCGCTGCGCTACGCTACGCTACGCGGGAGGGGTGCGGCGGGGCGGGCGGGCGGGCGGGCTCGTTGCGCTCCGACCCGAGCTCCGCGCGATTACTCACCCGCGGATTCCTTTCATTCATAAAAACACAGTCATGCGGTGACGTCACCTTTCCTTCGCCCCGCCCCCGGGGGGCCCGGCCCCGCCCCGCCCTCTCCGCCCTTTTCAAAGATGGAGGCGCGCGGCTCCTCCCTTCAACTCTTCCACCGCCCTTCTCTGGGATGGAGGCCCGTTGGCCCCTCCCCATTGGCCCTTCCCCGGGAGCGGCGCAGCTGATTGGTCCGCTCTGGGGCAGTGACCAATGTGAGAGTGGCGGAGCCTGCGGGCTTTAGCTCACCTTAGGCCCCGCGGGCGCTGCGGGGAAACGGCCGTTCTTCCCGTAAGGGGAAGGCGATACAGAAACCGAGAGTTGCCGGCTCCGGGCTGTCAGTCCTCGGTTATCTGTCGCAAGGTCGAGCTGGGGAGCTGCGTGCCATGCAGTTCCTCGGGCGGCTCTTGAGCCAGGCGTTCAGCAACCCGTACCGCGTGAAGGAGGTGCCCGCCGCAGACTATTCGGGGCAGGGCAGCCTGCTGGAGGACGGCCGGGTGCGGCTCTACAGGAACGGCCGCTGCTGGGACGGAGTGCTGGTCAATCCCCAGAGCCCGGGGGTGGCCTTCCGGTAGGTGCTGGGACCTCAGGTGTCTGCTTAGAGCCTGGAGGGAGGCCTGATAGAGCACAGTGGCACAGGCTGCCCAGGGAGGTGGTGCAGTCATCATCCCTGGAGGTGACAACCGTGTGGATGTGGCACTGAGGGACACAGTGGGCGCTGTGGGGATGGGCTGGTGGCTGGACTGGATCATCTTCGAGGTTTTTGTACCCTTAATGATTCTATGTTTACCTCTCCCTTTCGCCTTTCCTCCAGGCTCTTCCACCTCGATGATGAAGCAGAAGCCCTGGTGTGCTTTGAGCGCTATGCTGGCCACCTGCGGCCGTTCTACGAGAGCTCAGCCCAGCCCCTGTCGCTGGAGGTTCTGCAGCAGCTCAGTGACTGCATCCGCAACCACCCCAGCTGGTCCTCGGCACACATAGCAGTGGAGGTTGGCATGCATGAGACCTTCCGACACAACCGTGTACTCAGGTGAGGGTGCTGAGCAGTCTCCTGTGGGCCTGGCGTTGTTTGTGCTGTGTTGAGGTGTCTTTGATCCTGCTGCTCTGGATCATAGGCTCGCAAAATGGCTTGGGTTGAAAATGACCTTAAAGATCATCTAGTTTCAACTCCACTATTGCGGGCAGGGCTGCCGCCCACCAGCTCAGGCTTTCCAGAGTCCCACCCGACCTGGCCTTGAGCACCTCCAAGGATGGAGCACCCACAGCTTCTCTAGGCAGCCTGTGCCAGCGCCTCACCACTCTGAGAAAAGAGTTTCTTCCTAACATCCAATCTAAATTTCTTCTCTTTTAGTTTGAAGTCATTCCCCTTTGTCCTATTGCTATCAGACCATGTTAAATGTCAGTTCTCCCCCTGTTTGTAAACTCCCTTAAAGTTCTGGGAGGCCACAATGAGGTCTCCCCAGTGCCCTCTATTCTCCAGGCTAAACAAGCCTGAGAAGGACTGAACTGTTTTGCTGAAGACCGACAACCCTTGTGGATCTGTTTTTCAGAGAGGGGGTGTGGCTCACTGTAAACTGCAAGAGAGGAAAAGGGTTTCCGTTGCAAACTCTCATTCTCTTTCGGTAGGAACATTCACATAGGGTAGAGGAAACCAGCAAGGAGCAAGTGCATCAAGAGATTGATCACAACATCTCTGCCTGATTGCTGACTGCTGTCTGTATCCTCTCTTCTTGTGGGCAGACGGAGCTGCCTTTGGGCATGCACAGAGGAAGGGGCTGTGTGTCAGGAGGAGGGTCCATGGTAGGGCTGGGTCTTTGCAGAGGTAGGTCCTTGTCTTTGCAGCCTCTCTATGCTGTAACATTCCTTCTTCTCTTACAGCTGTGTGAATAGCACAGACAGTGAGGATGGCTGCACTCCACTGCACCTGGCGTGCCGCAAGGGAGACATGGCCTGCCTGCAGGAGCTGCTGGACTGCCACGCACGAGTGGATATTACAGACAGGAAAGGAGAGACAGTTTTCCACTATGCTGTGCAAGGAAGCAACCCCTATATCATTGAGGTGGGAGCAGTCTCAAAGCTGGGAGAAGGGAGACTGGAACTTTTCCTTACTGTGCTGTGAGAGAGAGAGAGAGGATGATAGCCAGGGGCTGCAGTCTGGGGTAATGAATGGCAGGTAGCTCTGCTGCAGCATCATGGGAATGGGAACCTGGTTTCAGCCCCTTTCTTCCTCCCTAGTTACTGGTGCAGTTTCCCATAAGCAGATTCCATGTTCCACCCTGCAGTGGAACAGGGTTGTAAAGCAGTGGTTTCCTCAGAAAGTGTCCTTTGGCATTTGCTTCAAGCCTTAATCCTAACTTTACTCAGACCTTTGGCTGTCCCTTCAACAATCTCCTCCCAGCAGGGCTTTTAGATCTGGGTTGAGCACTCCAAAAAGGGCCTTCAGGCTACCAGGGGTGTGTGTGTTGCCTGCAAACTCAGGCTCTGGTTTGGAGCTGCCCTGGGCTTTCCCGAGCCTGCAGAACCTGTTGGAACTGAGCAGTTCTGGTGACATGATCAGAGCCTCGAGGCAGAGTGACTGGGTTTGCAAGGCTGTGGGTTCCTTTCCGCTTTGCTCCTCAGGTCTGGACGGGGTGCCAGACAGGCCCTCGCCTGCAGCTGCACCAGCTGTGTTTGCCCAATACCTCTTGTGACAGCTCTCCTGTTGCCTGCCAGACGATGGAGAGATTTCCTAATCTGTGGTGGCGGAGGGATGATGAACAATCAGTGTTTGCCACACTGTGGGGCAGGACAGTTAGGACCTTTGTATTATAAAGATGTTTTCTTCCTGTATGCCTCTAATGGTGGCAGCTCAACTTGTTAAAGACATACTTTCAGTTTTGAGCAATCTTGAGTTTGTTTCTCTTTCAATTCCTTGCTAGACCAAGGAAAATAAATTAAATTCCTGCTTTTCTTGTGTACACTGGGACTTTCAGTGTTCCCATAGTATGGCAGTGGGATTGTTTCTTGTAACAAACTGGTGTTGTGGCTTATCCTGTATAAGCAGCAAAGCATCACATAGCCACTCACTTGCTCCCCACTCCTCCCCCAGCTGGGTGGATGGGGAGAGAATCAGAAGGATGAAAGTTAGAAAACTTGTGGGCTGAGAAAAAAGACAGTTTAATGACAAAGAACAAAGAAAATGGGGGAACTGGGGAGGGGACAAGTGATGCAAAACACAATTGCTTACAGCCAGCCACTCTCTGAGCAACAGAAGGTTCCCCAGCCTGCTCCCTGAGTTCCTTTGCTGGGCACAGCTTCATATGGTATGGAATGGTTAGTTGGGGTCAGCTGTGCTGACTGTGTCCCCTCCCAGTACTTTGTGCAACCCCAGTCTTGCTTACAGGCAGCTTGAGAAACAGAAAAAAATCTTGTTTCTGTGCGAGCACTGCTTGGCAACAACTAAAACATTGTTGTGTTATTTTATCAGCATTATTTTCTTCACAAATCTGAAACATAGCACTGCGTAAGCTGCTGTGGAAAGAAATTAAGTGTGAAAACCAGGGCAACCAGTTAATCTGCAGCGGATCTGAAATTTACACGTAGAAGAGGAGAATTCCTTCAAACATCTCCCCACGTGTATTTTAAACAGACACATTTGTAGCTAAAAGCAATGGTGGAACTGCAGGGAAAGGTGAGCTCCTGCCTGCTGGCTGGCTGTGGTAGCTGATAAGAAGAAGCTGCTGGTTCCAGGGAGTGCTGTCATTCAGTTGGGCTAAGCGTGGCACACTCAGAGTTACTGTTCTGCAGCTGAGTCTGCAGGGCTGTGTTAATACAGCTGCTAAAGTCTATGTGAACCCTTTTTGATTGAGGGGTGTCTCAGGTGAATGTGGACCAGGGGAAATGTGTGCAGAGAACACACCTTCAGGAGTGCTTCGGTTGTCATGTTAGAAGTTGGACTGTGGGGAACCCTGTGCTACAGTCTCTCCTTGGAGCTCAGGGAGTGAGACAGTGCTCTTGTATGTCTGTCTGTCTTCTATTTGTTTATTTCCTGCTCTCCTCAGCTCCTGAGCAGTGCGCCGACTGTTGGCGTGAACCACCTGAGCCATGAAGGGCTGACCCCTCTGTATCTCGCTTGTCAGCTGGGCAAAGAGGACATGGTTCGGTCTCTGCTGAAGTGCCGTGCCAGCTGCAATGTCATGGGGACAGTGGGCTACCCCATCCATGCAGCTCTGAAGTACTCCCAGAAGGGGTAAGTAAAACTGTGTGAGTCAATGCAGGCGTGCAGCAGGAGCAACCACACGCCATTACCTCACCAACTGTGGGATCCTTTGGGCAGCAAGCAAGCAGACTCACACAGGCACCACTACAGACACCATTAGGCTTGGTCCATGCTGGAGGGTCACAGATTTGTTTGTCAGGGGTTTGCGCTGACGTAGTTTGCCACTCTACTTTGATTCTCACTGTGCCCTGATCTACTCTGCACAAGGCAGGACCCCAACACATTCAGTAGGGTGCCTTCAATTCCACCTTATATCCATGCTGTCTACATACAGGTGTCAGACACTCAGAGGACAAGCAGCAGTGGGTATGCTGGGTATGCTAGATGTGTTTTCCTACGCTGCTACTCTCCATGCTTTACATTTTCCTATCTGCAAGGTCACTTGAGCATATTTACAATCCTCCTTGGCAATCTCTGTCCTCATCCAGACTTCTGCTCTTAACTTATTCCTCCCTTTTCTCACAAGTGACTGCTGCTGCTGGGGCTGGCAGTATGGGACAGTGTGATATACAGAGACAGGTAACAAAGCATACAGGAAAATAAACATAAAAACATACAGTGTTCTTAGTTAGGAGTCCTGCTCCTCCTGTCATGGAATGAAGCCACTCAGCAATCAGCCAGTAGATTGTTGCATTTGATGCATTAAGTCCTGAGGACATTGAACATGCTTCACAGTAGTTAATTCATTGGCTATGTTGAGGCAGCATGTACTTTCAAACTCAGAACAGTGTTTTTGGTGTTGAAGGAGGTAGTTCATCACTAGTCAATTAAGGTTCTTTAGCAT